CACACACACACACGACAGATGTGATGACGTCACACACAAGCCCACAGTCATCATTCTGGAGTGGCATGAAGGTTACTGATGATTTCCCGGTGTGCGTGTGACAGACCTGTTCTGTGAATATTCTTGTTTTGAGGTCAGGCATTCCACTTCCCCTCAGCTCATCCTCTACCACCATCAACCTGCAACACACACACACACACACACATTCCCAGGATGCTCTGGTAATCGCAGGGACTAAGTCGCGAGCGCGCGTCACGTGTCTGACCTGTTGATGATGCCCTTGATCTGCGAGTCTTTCTCCACCTGCTGGTGGCGCAGTCGTCTCTCGCTGTCATCCAGCCGGCTCTGGTACTGCAGCAGGATCTTACTGGTCTGCTGCTCCTGCGAATGCAGCCGGCGCTCGTACTCCTCCAGCTTACGGTGGGACATCATCAGACGCTCCTTCAGAGAGTGGATCTCATCCTCGTACTCGCGCACCTGCACAGAAAACAGCACAGAACCGTCAGAATGAACTGACCTCTACATGCTGTTCACTGAGTTTGAAAAGGGCACGAGGGGGAATCTCACGGTCAAAAACATGTTCAGCTTTTATTTAAATCCAAAATCAAAAGAAAACAAACTGAATTTTGTTCACTGACATTATTTTACTAATATTTGAACATATTTAATTGCTAACTCACATTACTGCATTGCTGAATAATTATAAATTATTTACATTGCAAAGAATATATGGAAAAATGTAAAGTTAAATTTAAAGATTTAGGCCTGTTTTATGACTCTATTTAATTATCAAGAAAAAAAAAACGCAAAACCAAATCTTTTTACCCAATATTTATGAAAAATGAATTTTAAATATTTTGCATGAAGAAAATTATTTATTTTTAAATGTGTTAAATATTAAAAAAATGTATTTAAATAAAGTTATTATGATTTTTGTTGCACTAGGACATTATTTTACTGATAATGAAGCGCATTTAATCCTGAACTCTTATAATGATTATCATAAGTAATTTGCATTATGAAGCATTTAATTATCAAAAAAATAATGTCACAATCCAAAATCAAATCTTTTGGTTCTAAAAAATAATCTTAATTTTCTTCATGCAAAAAGTATTTTGCATAAAAAAATATTAATTTATTTTTGTATGCATTATTTATTTTTGAAAATTAAAAAAGCTATTATGTTTTTTATGCAAACATTATTTTACTGACAATTTAACTTTTATTTAAATAAAAAAAAAAGGGAAAAAAGTGTATGTTTTACTGCTTGTTTTTTTTTTGGCAATTTAATGCTGATTTAATCGTAAATAAAAAAGGATTTTTTTTTTTTTACTGTGTTAAATTATCAAGAAAATAATTTCACAATGCAAAACAAACAAAAGAAATCTCTCTTTCCTACAAATATTTTCTTTATTCAAAATAACATTTTCAATTTTTTTATATATTTATTTTTAATGTATGTATTAATAATAATAATAAAAAAAGATGACGTTTTTTATATATATATTTTTTAGATGATTTTGAAGTGAAATATGAGCTGGACTTTTAATTATTACATAATTAATTTATATAATAATTATAGAGACGTCTCACAAAATGATATAAATAATTGAATTATATATAATTAATTAAATAGCAATGTGTTTATTGTTGTGTCTGCTGTAGCGTCAGTACTGACCCGGTCCAGGCGGGACTCATCCATGCTCTTAGAGTGCTCCTTCAGTTTTAAGTCCTCGCGATCCACACGCAGACTCTCGATGTCTGCAGACAGATGCGGCATGTTGGACACCCAGGCCACCGTACGCTCGGACGCGGCTGAGGGAGGATTGAGAGTCGACGGAGACTTTGAGCCCTGAAACACACGAACACAGAGAAAACATCCAGACATTACAGCTGGATCTGAGACTATATGCAGACATACACTACTGGACACAAGACTGAGCTCAGTAAAATAAAAACAAAAAGAAGAAAGAAATTACTACTTTTATTTAGCAAGGACACAGTCAGTTGAAGACATTGATAATGTTCAATTTCAAATAAATGCTGTTCTTTTGATCTTTCTATTCATCTGTGAATCATCATGTGACACTGAAGACTGGAGGAATGATGCTGAAAATTCTGCTTTGATCACAGGAATAAATTACAGTTTAATAGAGATTCACATTGAAATTATAATATTTCACTGTTTTTACTGATGAAATAAAATGAAGCGCTCTTTCACTCTGATCTACAAAAGTTAATTTATTAAATATGACAAAATATACAAATTTCTAAGAGAGACAAAAATTCTCTCAATACAAACATTTTTATACAAAAATATAGACAACTGAATTTCTTTGAATATCTATTAATTTCCATCCATTTTAATTTGATTTATTTACATTCAAATTTGAATTGCAATTCTGCATCCTCAATTCAAATCAGGATTGGCATTTTTAAAATGCTCTGTCAGTTCAGTTCTGAATGGCTGAATAAGTGGGGATTTTGTGCTCTCTGACAATACTAGTTATTCTAGTTAAGGAAGTGACCCACAAACGGGACTTTCAGACGTCATTTATCCCCATTTCGCCTCTAATTTTAAATATCCCAGATTACTGACGGGACTCAAACCTGCGCAGACACACCGGTGCTGCGGATAAAAGTGTCTGCGATGATCTAATGTGTGACAACAGAATGTGTGTGTGTGTGTGTGTGTGTGAAAGAGAGAGTGTGTGTGAGAGAGAGTGTGTGTGTGTGAGTGAGTGTGTGTGTGCGTGAGTGAGTGTGTGAGTGAGTGAGTGTGTGCGTGTGAGAGTGTGTGTGTGTGTGAGTGAGTGAGTGATGGGGACCAAATGTCCCCACAAGGATAGTAATACTAGTAAATTTTGACCT